TGGCCTTTTATTGTGGCCAGTCTAAGGCACACCTGTGCAATAATCATGCTGTCTAATCATCATCTTGATATGCCACACCTGTGAGGTGGATGGATTATCTCGGCAAAGGAGAAGTGCTCACTAACACAGATTTAGACAGATTTGTGAACAATATTTGAGAGAAATAGGCCTTTTGTGTACATAGAAAAAGTCTTAGATCTTTGAGTTCAGCTCATGAAAAATGGGGGCAAAAACAAAAGTGTTGCGTTTATAATTTTCTTCAGTGTATAAATATACATTCATCCCCACCCCCCAAAAAAAATTAAGGAAGTAGGTTAACAACAAATGTCAAAACAACATTAAACTCACCCCATGAAAAGTCCAAAGTCCAGGTTCCTTGCATGGATGAGATTGCCTACAATAAAAACAAACTAATGTGTCCTACATGGCACAACTTCAAACAAAATATTCTCATATCATAGTTATTGGTTTAGTTTACAATAGATGTTTTTTTTTTGACTGCCATTCAAAAGCTTGGGGTCGGTAAATTTTTTAAGTAGTCTCATGCTCACCAAGATGGAATTTATTTGATCAAAATGAGTGTAAAAACAACAATAAACATAAGCAATGGATTATTATTGCAATTTAAAATAACCATTTTCTGTAGAGTGGTGCTGGTATGACATCAGAACCCGGAAAACTAATTTGCCGCTCGTTCCTTAAGACATTTTCCTAAGGGGTTTTATAAAGGGTTTTTTCAATTTAAAGCCTGTGGTAAACATAACTTGATGATTCTTGGATGTTTTGTTCTACAACATAAACTGCACACGCTGACATCCCAAGCTGTCTCATCTAATTACTTATTAGAAACATACATTTTCAAAAATAAACATAACTGGTTCAAAATTTGCGTGCTTGATATGGGAGTGTGTAATTTACATTGTAGAACAAAACATCAAAGTATCAAGTTATGTTTGCCACAGGCTTTATTTCACTCATAAATCGAAAAACCCCATTATAAAGCCCCATAGGAAAATCTCTAAGGAGCCAGTGGCCAATTATTCTTCCGGGTTCTGACATCATACCAGCACCACTCTGTTTGAATATATATTTAAAATATAATGTATTCCTGTGATGCTAAAGCTGAATTTTCAGCAGCCATTACTCCAGTCTTCAGTGTCATTACGTGTGAAATCAAGTGCTCAAGAACCATTTCATATTATTATTTTGTTATAAGTGATTCATTTTTTTTCGAGATTCTTTGATTAATAGAAGGTTAAAAATATTTTGTAGCATTATAAAAGTTTTACAGTCACATGATCAATTTAATGTATCTTACTAAATAAAAGTATTGATTTCTAAAAAACAAAAAATATATATATATATATCTTACTGACCCTAAACTGGTACTGTATGTAATTTAATGGGTATCTGATATTTTAGAACATAGATATAGATTATAAAATATTATAAAAAGATGAAAATAATGTTATCTCTGATGATATCCTCACCATTGACATCCTCTGCAACCAGAGACGTGCACACGGTGAACACCTCATAAAATATGTTGAAGAGCACCACCTCACCTGAGTCACAGAGAATAAAATCTATTAAATATAGATTTTATTTAACAGTGTTAAACATAATAGTATTGTTTTAATGCATTCATACCCAAAGAAACACCAGACGCTGATGCGATTCCTCTGATCTCCTCATTGAACGGGTAAGGCAGGGTGTCCACCATCAAGGGCTGGGGACAAAACACATCACAGTCCTGTTAACAAACACTGTTAGGCAGAGTAATTACTGTCTAAATTATTCATGTAGATGAACGGTGACAGGTACTGTATACAGTATGTCTGCAAGCTATGAGATTTAAGATTGCAGTATACATAAGTCAATCATGATTAAGCATCATACATAGTTCGACTGATGAGATTCTTTAATAACTCACCAAATCCTTATCTACTAGATCGATGAGCTTTCCACTGGGAACAAATGCATCTGCTAGATCTCTGATAGCCTGAATCATGCTCACCATCTAAAGGCAAAGCACATGAGCTCTTGAGTAATGTTCACCGAGAGCTGCTCAAGATCATCTGGTTTTAGTTTTGTGGAATTCCAGGATTTCACTTCCATTTCGGTTCACAGTTCACATAAAAGTTCACCAATACATAAACTAGACTTCTACTAATCAAGTGAATAGTCTGTCACGGCAAAACAACTTGCAGTTCTTTTGTTGCTAGAAGTACATTCATAGACAGAGCATTGAACCAGTATAATGATATAAACTCACATCGTTCTTTTTGTCTGTAATGACATCTGTCCATCTTTTGCTTGGTGGTAAATCCAGATTAACAGTATACCAGGACACATCCCCTTTAAATCTAAAAGATCCAGAGATTATACACATGTTCTTATTCTCTCCCTTCAATGTGAATTACAAATTCAAAATTACATTCTAAATCATTCATATTAAGAGAAAATGAAGTTTTCGTAGATTTATAGATGAACTATGATGAAAACACTTTAAAAGATTCTTTTTTTCTTTAAGTTGGTCCAAAAAATAAAAAATTCAATACATTTTTAAATAAACCTTTTTGCACAAAAAATTACATTGGATACTGTAATATAAATGTTATGGTAATAATATAACATATACATGATATTATAATATACATCTTTTGCAATTGCATAACAATGAAACATTGCCGTTCTGTTGTTACAAAACACCTGACTTTGTTTCACTTCTTTAAAACTAAAAATTATACATTTTTCTTATTAACATCATCTTTGATCAATAAGCTGTTCAAATAAAAACATTTGGAAATATCGCTATTAATATTTTAAAATTATTTTTACATATCCGTTTCTCTCCTGTGATTCATTCGTACGGTTTGCATTTTCACCTGTTGTACATGTAATTATTGTACAGATTTTAATTTTTGGTCTCTGACAGCAGTTTTTACAGGTTGTATAATCCATCATTTCAGTTGTCATACTCACGTTGGGCCGTTTGGAGGATACATGCCACTTCGGCACTCTTCTGTGTACTTAAATGTGAACATTAGTCATTTAATTCAGTAAACTGGAGTTGTGTTGGTTATTCAGTTAAGCTTCTCTATGCCAACAGCACTGGTGATTTAGGTTATAAAACATCGCATTGACGTATACACAAACTACTGCAGTCCTGTCATAACTTAAGTTGATACGAGGATAATAGTAAAGATGCATTTGTTTTCATAAATAACAATACAAACTCTAGTTTGTGACTTACCGGTGGGACATATTGCGCAGACAAGCATATAAACACAAAAGAGAGAATAAAACAGCAGAGGTTTAATTTGGGGATCATGATGAGACGAACGCGGAAGTACCGATGATACTCGTGACGGTTCGTGATCTGCGCAAACCCACGAGACACCGGGGGAGTTACCATAACAATGAGTTACAGAATAAAAGATGACTTCGCACTTTCTGTCTTTGGGTTTGTCCCGGTTTTATTTTACTAAGCTGTACCATAATTCGCTCCTACATCAACTTTTTAAAAAATTATTATTAAATAGGCTTGTAAGGAGAAATAACAGCCGCAGAACAAGAATGCAGTTTTACCAGAGCAGACCGATAAACAAACAGGCGACTGTATCGCGACATCTAACGGTTGTAGAGGGAAGTACAACAACAAGCATATTATTTTAAAGGCAGGGTATGTGATTTTTCAAAAACACTTTAGAAAACTGATTCGTGCCGAATCGCAAAACAAACTTGTAGCCAATCAGCAATAAGGGGCGTGTCTACTCGTGATGTGGAGGAGAGCGCGTTCAGTGCATGGGATGGACATTAGCCGAGCTGAGCGACAGAAAGATAGGGATGGCGGATAAAAAACAAAAGAGGAAAACATTTGCGGAACGATAAGGCAAGAAGTAGTACCCGTGTAAATATCGGATCAGCTTTCCAGCGCTGGAGAGAACTCAAGGAGCGGAGGCCTGTGATCGGACGCCGAGGTTGCTTTGTTTCTTCTCAATAGGTGAGTAACACCGTGTCTACAACAGCTAAAGTCTGTCTACACTGGACGCGATCAAACGACCGTTGAAAACCATTTGAAATGTGTGTCAGCACGTCATAAATAGAACCCGGCAGCAGTTTTCTGTCGGGGATTTGTTGCGCCGCGCCGCTCACGTCCGTAGACACGGTGTAACATTGGTTTTGCTTTGTTTCACAGAACTAATCGTTGCCTGGGTTGCGTACGTATATATGGGGCGAAGCTATCAAAATAGGGGCAAGACCCTTTTGGGGTAGGGGTGTGTTTGTTTTGGTGATTTCAAATATCAACATTGGCTACCAGAAATCCCTTACTCTGCCTTTAATGCAGATTCATTTATATACATCAAGACTGCAAACCTTCTTATGTTTCTTGCCCAACAGACTGAGCTCCAGGTTAATGTGGTTGAACTCCCGGCGAAGAACTCCACGGGGTCCCTTCACAACAACTGTGCGGCCCTTGAGGGTCACATCGACTGCAAGGAAACAGCCAAAAATTTAGTAAAAGTGAAAGCATGAAGGAAAAAACGTGTGTGAATGGTTAGGACGTCAAGTGTGATCTCCAACACACCGTTGTTGGGGATGTCCACTGTCTGGTTACTGAGAATGGTCTTCATTCTGAAGGAAAGGAGCACAGAAGCACAAAATGTAATTGTTACATCACATCTTGTTCACTTATCTTCATTTAGCAGTAGAGAAAAACTGAACCCAGTGCAAACCCGGTCAGCTACATTCTGACAGCAATGTTAACGTATGTTTTAAGACTATTTGAACATTATTAATCGCATAATGAGACAAGCGTGTCTTAATGTCAATGTGCTTATTGCTTAATGAATGAATTCGGCCTACAAGCCCAGCTAATAGATAAACACCGACCAGACAGACTGCCGTTATCAAACAACATCGGGTTTTCTGCACTAATACAAGCAGAGATATTCTCACGAACAAGTACATAAAGTCTTGGGACACTAAGAAAACCCGACGGATTTGACGTTAGTGCGGATTGTAGTTGATTAAAACACACAAGAACAGGACGCGCCATGTTCTTACCTCGCCGATTAAAGAGGAAAGGGAGGCGGAAGGACGTCATGACGTAAATGTAACCAGTACGTTTTGCGTCATCGCCGGTCGCCAAGGCACGACCGAGCGATTACAGATACTGAGAACCGATTTAGTAAAGCGTGTTGTAACTGTCATAACAATTATTATATATGATTTTATTGACATATCTTTCTTTTTATGTAGGAAAATGTGTCACATGCACATTTGTCACGATGTCTTTGTCATAAACGTGCAGGGCGAGTTAATCGATGTCAGAGCGGTTGATGAGCTGGTTCTGAAGTCATGGCGCTGCGGGACGATATTCGTCTAATCGTCTGTTTTTACCGTCAAAATGCTTTGAGGGGTCTAGTGTAAGTGGTTTCTTTGTTCTGTTTTAGTTGTATGACTGATTGTACAAAAATATAATGCCAAATAGTTTAATGTGCAGGCCAGCGCAAAGTCACTGCAATCTCAACAGTATAATATCTGCTGATTAAACATGTTAACTCTCAAGCATTCTTCTTATAGCAGCCCTTAATTGGTGGAAAAAAGTTGGGCACGAAGGTCTCAGGTGTGATCCCATTATATAGTATATATATAAATGTCATATTACTATCTTCGATAAAATAAAAACGTTCAATTTATGATTTTTTTTTTTTGTGATTTTTGGTGTTTTTTGAATTTATTTACCTCTAAAAGTACCTTATTTTATGTAAAATATGCGTATTTTATGTTATATTTAATGTTTCTTTTACTTAAGTAAAAAAAAAAAATCATTCCAGTAAGTTCAGACAGCCAAAACCTAAAAATGTGGTGACTTTGGTGACATATGATGGTATAAAAATATGAAAATATAAAAATATCAATAGCCAGTATTAGCCACTATTTGGCTGAAGTACTCAATGGCTGCATATAGGCTGAAATCTATAAAGCATTGTTGTAACGAACTTAACCTCTTAAGTTTTAGATTTTATCACAAGTTAAAATTGTAGAATTAAAAAAAAAAAACATTTGTGTTGGGTGAGGCTATACAAAGATGAAAAAATATGCCTACAGGCAAATCTGACCATGCTATAAGGAAAAGACAAAGTAGGAGACAGAGTAATCATTTATTTCTAACAAAAAAACATAAAACTGTAATGACTCAAAAAAGTAAAATGGTACCAAACAGGTAAGAATAAACAATAAAGCTAGCAAGTAGCATGTTTTGTTTGGAATCATCAACAAATCCACTACATATTGTTTTTGTGTGTGTTCAAACTTCCGCTCAGATTAAAAGAGTAGTTCACTTCCAGAACAAAAATGTACAGATAATGTACTCACCCCCTTGTCATCCAAGATGTTCATGTCTTTCTTTCTTCAGTCGTAAAGAAATTATGTTTTTTGAGGAAAACATTTCAGGATATTTTAAAAAATTACAATTTATATACTTTTCAACCTCAAATGCTCATCTTGTATAGCTCTGCGTGAACTGTGTTTTCCGGTTCATGACAGTTAGGGTATGTCTAAAAACTCCCATCTCATTTTCTCCTCCAACTTTAAAATCGTCCTAAATCGCTGCAGAAGTACCGACCCAGAGTTTACAAAGTGAACATGCAAAGAAGGTCAAACGCCCTTTACAAAAAAACGGCAAAACAGCGATGTAGGACGATTTTCAGACTTCAACAGCGAAGTCTGTGTGACCAACTTGAACCTGTTGTGAAATCGTTCACCCTCACGCAAAATGAATTTCTATTAAAATGACTGAAAATTAAGTAATGCAACCGTATCTTAAAGGGACAGTTCACCCAAAAAAAAAAAAAATAAAAACAAATAAATTCTGTCATCTTTTACTCACCTTCAAGTTGTTCCAAACCTGTCTTTCTTCTTTTGAACACAAAAGAAGATAGTTTGAAGAATGTTGGTAACCAAACAGTTGGTAGCCATTGACCGGACTGAAGACCGATGAGCCGCTGATATGCGCATGCGTGAACTGAGAGCTTGAATGAAGGGGCCGAATGAGTCGGTGTACCATCAGAATGATTTTGAAACTGATACTTCAAGGTAAAATCCTGCATGCCGTTGCTTTAAGTAATCTATTTTAGATAACCTCACCTCTAAACGGCGACAGAACAAACTGTGATTGGCCACTTTACACGTCAGTCACATCTGAGCAGATGGTTCTCAGACAGAACGAGGACCAGATTTTACCAAAGTGAAAATTCTTCAAGCACTAATCATTCAAAAGCAGCAGGCAGCATTTCCCATTTCATACCTCATTTCAGTTTCATTCTGTTAAACACACACCTGTGACGCTTAGCATTATCTCCTCTATACAGTATATACATATAGTTTATATATAGTTTACAAGAGACTTATATCCCACCAAAGTTTTTACTGGACCCAACACAAAAACCTGTACGTTTTAATTTACACGTAGACAATCAGAAATGTAAATGTAATATTATATTTATTCTAAAAATATTATTTAAAAAATATATTATAATGTATTTACATTTCTAAATTAACAAATATATAAACCAAATATTTTCTTAGTTATAATATATTTACATGTACATTTCTAATTTAGCATTTTGTAATTATTTAAGAAAAATGAGTATTATACATTTTTACATTTCTACATGCATAAATATATAAACCAAACATTCATTAATTTACATTTTTCTAATATTACGTTTACATTTAAATGCCTAATTTAGTATTTATTCTAAAATGATTATTTTAGTATTACACATTTTTATATTTCTAAATTAATAAATATATAAACTGAAAGTATTAATTTACATTTATAAAATTATATTTACATTTAAATGTTATTTATTGTTTATACTAAAGGGGTTGTTCAAAACCATTACTTGGGATTATTAATATTTTTACAAACATTTATTAATAATAAAACAATTTTTTTTTTAATGAATGCATTGCAAGGCACCAAAATACATGCACATGATCAATAAATATGGCAAAAGATGCTGTATAGGTGTAGTTCTGACCATCAGGGCAGACAAACATTGGCTCCACTTTTCATGAAGCACTCACTCTTACACATAACTTTATTTGTTTAAACACACCGTTTCATTTCTTAGGCGAGTTCTTTTTGAAGAATCTGCTGGAAAAGAGGAAGACTGAAGAAACCATAGGTTTAACCTTTAAGTATACATAATACAAAATAAAATTCATTGCGTTGCAGTAACACTATAAACATAATATTTAAATGAACATGTTGGGTTGTTTTAGAAATGGATTAAAGGTCTCTATATTGTGCATCATTTAAGTAATATAAATAGAATATATTCAATACAATAACATGTCAATTGTGCATTTTTGTTTGAGCCATGGTTGACTTCCATATTTAAGCCTGCGAAATAAGTAAACAACACTGCTGCTTTTTATCGGTCCATATTTGTTTAATACGTTTTCTGCCATCATTGTACATGACCATTACAAACCTGTACAGTAAGAGATGATTTTATAAAAGCTACAACTGTGACGCTACATTAAGATACACAGTACAGGTCAAACAATACATACCAGAGGATTAATAAATGATTAATAACTGGGTGACACAAACAGCTATTTACCATTGGTATCACATTGCCAAATGTTTTTAAGGCAAATGTTTTATAGCAGTTTTTCTGTCCCCTTGGTCCAAATATTAAAGTTCCTTCCGTTCCTTCTGTTGCTGCTCCCTCAGACATCGCTCTCAAATAAGCAGATGATTTTGCCAATAAAATCTATAACACTAATAACTGTAAACACTAATATACTACTAAACAGTACTGGGATGCTGAAATGCAGTTTTGTGCACTATAGATGTTTCAACAATTTTTTGAAATGGCACAGACATGAGAACATTCTAAAAAAAGATGATTTAAAAAAACTAAGACATCAACGACAAAGTGTTTAAAATAGTAAATCACTGCATTTTTGCAAACGGCCATGAGAGAATAAACTCGTATAAAAACATTCTGAAGATGGTTCAGCACACACACAGCACATGCATTGTTTTCCAGCAAAGGTCACGCATTACTTTGGTTTTGTCAGCAAAAGACTTTAATCAGTGTAAAGTGCACATGTGTGTGAGTCTGTGTCTTAAACTTTGGTTTTCTTGATGGTTGGTTCATTGAGTCGTGGACCTCCTCCGGATGGTGTGAAGGGGATTCGGGTCGTCACTTTCTTTCCAATGGTCTCGATCTATGCAAAACACACGGCATTAAACTATGTTAACTAATGAAGTGAATGAAGCGAGTAGTCAGGCAGGTGGGCACAACCACAAACCTGTGAACTGCACAAATGTGACCCTGGAGCACAAAAGCAGTCTTAAGTCGCTGGGGTATATTTGTAGCAATAGCCAAAAATACATTGTATGGGTCAAAATTATCGATTTTTCTTTTATGCCAAAAATCATTAGGATATTACAGTTTTTCTCGATTGCTTAAACACATTTCTTGAAACTATGCCTCATATTCTCAAAACAGTAAACACAAATCCATAATGTCTCACCCAATTCCCCAAACATCCTATTTTCAGGTCAAAATGAAGCTCTACACTCAAAACCATTCACTCTTGCTGAAAAAACAAACTTTTCCCTCAGACATCACACACAAGCCCTCAAAAACACACACACTACAACATAGTCTTACACACTGGTGAGATAAATTCAAAACAATACTACAAAAAACAAAAGCCAGTAATAAGTTAAGTTGCTTGTGGTTCTCCCCCTCAAGGAACTTTTCACATAATGAACACGTGTATACATTTGCACATTTTTTATTCCTTAATGTACTGTACAGTACAATACACCAAACAACAACAAAAAATATTCTGCCCCAGCATCACATCTTTGTTCTGGTGTCAAAAAGGGGAATAGTGTTTATAGTTTAGGGAAATGGGTGTGCTTTTTGATAAATGGTGATATGGTTTTGAAATTTTAGTTCAAAAGCCTGGTTATAGTGTTTTAGCAATCGAGAAAAACTGTAAGTAAAAATCATGTTCCATGAAGATGTTTTGTACATTTCTTACTGTAAATATATCAAAACTTAATTTTTGATTAGTAATATG